CCCCAAAACCCCAAAACCCCATAATTCAAAATAGAGCATAATTTATGAATTTATTAAATTACATATATCAACTTGAAATATTAATTCGATTTTAGATTATACCTCCTTAATTACTCAAATCAGAGTTTTTCAAAAGCATTATTTACTCATATGATTCATTTTCTTGATTGGATTAGTCTACTTGTATCATCTTCTTCTATTATAAATCTCTGATAATTACTTCAGCAATATTCTCAGCCCTCTTATTTTCCACATTTGTTTAGCTCTGGTAGAAGTAGTTATCCTATGAAATTTAAACTTCTCTTTAAGTTTTAGCTCTACCTCTTGGTTATTTCGATTATCTAGGAGACTCTATTACTCTGTGAAATTCATCCTCGTCTTACTATTTAATATACTTAATATGCTGTACTTCAGCTTTGTGCTTAACAATGTATTTTTCTCTACGCTTCTCAAGGAATATAAGCATATAACCGAGTAGAAATACACATACTTCAGCCCACAATAATGCACTTTTGATTTTGCCTTAAACTGCTGAGGCACATATTATTACAATAGCACTAAGAATTCCATATAAAGATGCTTTCGTTATAAATGTCTTTTTCATCAGGTATAAAAGCAAAATATAGTTGATCACTTCATTGAAACATGAAAATATCAAGACTCCTATAACCTCTTCCAATTCATATAAAATTTAAGGCATATCACCAATAGTCCATGATCCTCTATTTAAGCATTCAAGTATGTAGATAAAGAAAGTCCCTAATACCCCGAAAAAATACGCCCAAAAAGCAAAAACCACGAGATTGATACTACTCTAGGTTATTAATCTTTTGGTCAATATAAATTAGACAGAGAGTGATACTATCACAATAAGCATATAGAGCAAGTATCTCTTATCATGAGTGTTATTTTCACCAAATTCATTAACTAAATTTAAAATTATCTCAAATTATATTTACTCCAACAAGCTCTTATAATGATGATTATGGTAAGAAAGACGAAATCTACTACAATGACAAAGTATCTAATTCTAGATGGTTTTTCTAGTTTTAATAGTAATGATATAAAAGTAACAATCACCGGTACTATAGGCTATAAAAATTAAGCTTGAAACATTAAACTTGACTTACCTACCAAGTAGCTAATCTATAGACTCCAGACTACCACAATAATGTCTTAAAATTTTCGAGTTAAAAATATTAAGCTGTACTTATACCAATGAGACCAACCAATATACAGTAAATCCAATCTCTTAGAGTAAGACTTGTATTAAATTTTCTGGTTGCAAGTGCGAATAGGAAAATTAGAGTTAAACAGCAAAGCTATCTGAAGAACATTGGTGCTGCAACAGTATAGAATCTTGTGTTTATATAGGGTGCAGCAAACAGGAGATAGATTCCAATATTTACTTAGGTTATTGCTAATAGCGGATGGATTAATGAGGATCTTGTCAAATAATATGTTACTAATGAAGGCTTCACATTTTCTCTCCTCATTTTAATATAATTATAAATTTCTACATTTATTACTTCTGTTTAGGCAAAAGATTTATAAGGAATTGGGGTTTTGGGGTTTTGGGGG